CTGGAGTGGTACCAAGGAGAATTGTGTTAAACGTTTGTGTGAGACAGAGCCTGAGTGGATAGTTCATGATGTTACTAATGGAAAATAGTCAAGATCATTGCTTCTTATGGGCCTGTGGTAAATGCAATTGAAAATAATTTCTTTCTGAGTGCTCAGTAAGGTTTTTAGGAAGAAAATACCAATCTCACCCCTTAAGATGGGATTAATTATTTCTCACAGATAGATGTCTAGGTGTAAGTTATTTGTTGTAGACTTTCCATATGGTGAAATAGATGATTTACGTGATCTATCTTGTTTTCTCCATTGATTATGAAGGGAACCCAGGATGCATAGATTTAGCTGTCTTAACTTTCAGATACATAAATTAGGAACACAGGAATCCCATCTTTAATGAAGACATTTCAAGGTCATGGGCCACCCTTGGAGAACAGAAGCAACATAGATCACGTGCAGTTAATGACAGTCTTAATGGAAAATAAAAAGGTGAGACCAAAGTGAATGTGAAGACTAAACTCTACTCTGCTTTAGTGGACATGTCACACCAAACATTGGTGAATTGATGCTTGACTGTTGCTTTTCAAACTCTGGCGATTGTGGGTATAAGTCAGAAACCTTACAGGCAGTAATTCTGTTGTAACCATTTCATTTAGCCATTAGGGAAGCCTTAGAGATGCTCTATATTCTATGTCCTGTGGTTCCCGAGGGACAACTGAAATTGATGGTCTATCAATCACTTCCTGTGATTGTCAAAACCTTCCTGGAAAACTGTGGTTTAATCCCAGCCACCAGCTAAGCACCACACAGCATTGAGAGCTGGGGGATCAGAGCAGCCTGTCAATCTGCATATTCACACATGGGCTGTTGTGACACAACTGCACACAATTATGAAAATCCTCGTGTTCTGACTGGGGAACGGTTGCTTTCAGAGGACAGGGCTGAGTAGAACATCCTTCTTTGTTAAGTGTTTCCTCGAATTTTGGGAGAGAAAGGTATTCACATTTTTTCGAAGAAATTCCATATGAACTCTGCAGTCTATAGTAACTAGATGTGTGATAATGACCTGGTGTCCATATTTCATAATTTAGTTATGCATTTAAACTGTTATGTTAGAGCTACTTTTTTGCCATGATTAAAGAATCTTCGTTTCACTGAGCCCAGCATTAATGTACTCCAGATTCTGTTTCCTTAGAAGAGTAACAGATGTTCACAGTTTGGTGCAATTTTCAGATGAGCAATGCTGTTTATAATAAATTTTCCTAAGACCACCCAACTCATTTCACTTGCAACTTGAACTATGTCCAAGTGTTGATCTCAGGAGATGTAAGAGAGATGTAATAATTCTATGCCCCACCCAGTTCAAAAGACATGACTTAGTATAGATGGAATTTAAATATCTATACTTCCAATCAACATAGAAAGTCAAAGTTCTATCTTACATGCCATGAAAAATGGAGGTGGAAATAGCAACATTCTTGCTTTCATTCATCAAGTCTTCATAGGATCTGAAGATGAATATTGACAAGGTCTGAATGAAATAAAATTACAAACCGAAGATGAACGGTTGAAAAAGCACAACACAGCGAGTAAAAACAAAGAAATTGAGATTTATCCTCGAAGATGCAGATTTATTAAACACAGAAAAAAATCAGAAATGTGGTATTAAATATAGCTTGGGATGAGGTGTACGGATGTGACACAACGCATCATATATTGTTAGAAACAGCTGCAATAAATTTTGTGCTGCATTAACCAAAACATAGTGTGATTTTTAAATGCCTCTATCTGGGACATTATATTTAGTGTCAAGCATTAAACAGCAAAAATTGTGTTGATAGGGTTTAGGGATGTTAGAAAGCAAGTATTGAGGCACTTTGGGATGGAAAGTGAACCTTTAATTCATGTCTCTGCACTTATAAAAAGTCCTAGCAACTCACTCATACCAGTTTTGCCAACCAGTTGTATGGGACAACTCCCAAAGGAAAAAAGAAGCTCTGCATGACTTGAAACCATGAAAATTAAACAAACGGTTCTGAATTGACAGTAACTGGAACTGAATGAAACATATTTTTTTTTCTTTCCTGACATTTATTGTACTTTACACTTAACATTTTGTGCAATGTTATTTTAAGATTATAAACTGAGAACTCAGAAAAAAGCATTGAAAGGTTCCTATGGCAACCATAGTGTGCACATTATCTATATGAACATTATGATTATGGTAATGTGACATCGTGGTATTGAGTCTTGCTGTTTGGCAGGTGTGTATTTTATAATATGAGTTAATAAATGAATGTAGAGATAGTTATAAATGGCATTGAAACCAGCAATCTGATTTTTTTTTTTTGCAAGAGAATTGCTTTACTGCATGATACAAGCAATTTCTTTAAGTTTCTTGAAAGCACCTTTCCTAAAGGATTCTGAGCTGCATTTTTCTATATGGTGTTTAGGCACAGTGAATACTCAGCCCTGTCCTCTGACAGCAATTGTTCTCCAGTCAGAACACGAGGATTTTCATAATTGTGTGCAGTTGTGTCACAACAGCCCATGTGTGAATATGCAGATTGACGTGCTGCTCTGATCCCCCAGCTCTCAATGGCTTTTGTGTTTGCTTAACTGCTTGCCAGCAATGAAGATGCTATTTCAGCATCTTCCTTTCAGCTGGAGCCAGAGATACCAAATGCAAAGGAAACAGTGCTGCTGTGAAGACTGCTGAAAGAGATTTTTTTTTTTTTAGGTAAAAATAAATAAATTCATTTATCATTGCACCTCACTATTATCTTTTTTTTTTCCCCTGTTTTTCAGCTAGCAACTAAGGGCAAACTTCCTTTTTAGTAATTCTTGTGTGCTGGTTGTTAATGAAATTCCAGACTTTCTCATTTGGAAATGAAGAAATATTTTGTCAGTGCCGTGGTTACACATGCTGTGGTAGATATTAGAAACTTTCTGCTTTTTATAGTCTTATAATAGTCTTGACCTGAATATGTCCCTGACTTTTGAAGAGTGACCTGTCTTGCTAGACAACAGAAGGCTTATGCTTTTAAGCCTGAACTTAAAATCTTCTCTATCTTCACTTTGTATTTAGTTTTAAAATAATCTTCTGAGGAAATCAGGTGCTTGCTTTGGGGTTGGTGTTTTTTTTTTTTTGTTTGTGTTTCTTTTTTTCTTTCTCTTTTTCTTTAAAAAAATAAGAGAAATGTTGAAACTTACATTAGAAAACATATGGGATGTAACCTTCATTCCTGCTCTAGCTCTTGTTTCCCAGGAAACGAATCAGAGCAGCATGAAAAGGATCTAATGCTCCTGGACCCAGTGCAGAAAAAGTGAAGGCAGGTCTGAAAACTGTCTTTTAAGGCAATGACTGCTAAGGACCTCTTACAAAGCTGTGGTGTGAGAGTTTTTGGGGGAGTGGAGTCTGAGTAAAAGGGGGAGCCTTTTGGTGGGTCTACAGTATGCAAACCTGGAGAAATTGTCATCTGGGCAATTCTGCAACATTTACTTACAGTTACTCAGGGAGGCTGTATTAGTTTAGACAATCCATTCCTATGGGGACCACGAATAGTTCCTGGGGTTGTCATATGACTTGTGATCAAGTGGCTGCAAAGGTGCCGTGGAAGTCCCTGGACTTCTGCCACCTGGGCTGTGAGCGTGGGCAGATGCAGTTTCCATCTGCGCAGGCACGCAGCTGCAACCGTGCCGCATGGCAGGCGCGTCCCTGCTACCTCTGCTGGCGCTGCTTTCTGCGGAGAAGAAGAGCTATAAACCACTTAGCCCAGTATATGCTCACCTCCTCATAAGTCCTGCTGTCCCAGTTTTTATCAATGGAAAAACATTTTACTTCAGAGCAGTGCATTTATGAAATAAAAGCAAAGTGTTCAAGTATTGCTTTTTGTCAGTTGTTTGTAATGATAAAGCTTCCAGATGTTATAGTAAACTACAGTGTCATGTTATAGTACTGCAACTATTATTAAAATTGGACTAATGCTCTCTTCCTCTGGGTAGGGAGATTAGATGAGCACATCCACCAATTTGGCAAACCCCCCACATTAACTATACTTAGTTTTGCTCTTACTTTCTCTGGAAAGTTCATATAGCCTGGCCATGACTGTATATTTTTTCATTTGCTACCTTCTTTAAGGCCTCTTTTGTCTGCCCTTAAAATTAGGGCTTCTGTATGTCTTCATTATGTGATCTTAACTTTGCATGCTGCTGATAACTAATTTGAACTAGAGGTGGTTGAGAATTTTCCATCAGAATGAATTTCAACTAGAAGTGTCTGTAAAACAAATTTATCAAAAACTATTTTACTGATTTTTTTTAAAAAATACCTTTTTTAATAGGAAAATCAAAGCATACTATTCTGTTACATTTGGTTTGACCTGATTGGCAGTATTCTATTTTACAAAGCTAATCTCAAGGATTTTATCTTTAAGTTAGTTGAAAAAGCAAAAACAAAACTCTCAAAATTCTATGGCATCCTGAAACTATTCTTGATAACAAGTGATAATTTGTGCAAAACTTTTTTCCCTGAAAAAGAAATACTGAGTGAATTTCTTCAAAAATCACAGAGTCCTCTGTGTGAGTAACAAATACAAGCACATTTTACCTGTGTTTCTAAAGACTGTTCCAAAAAAAGAATGTGCCTATGGGTGTTTGGCTAAGTGTTAAGATGCTCCTGTTGTCCTGTTGTGAAAGGGACAAATACATTACTCAACACTTGTCATATTAAGAAATAGCAAGCAAGGGAACATTATTCTAAAAAGAAAGATGCAACTTTTTCTAGTGCGGTAAAGCATGGAGCTTGATGTTAGCTTAAATATGGTCAGGAGATAGTAGAAGCCACAGGACCAAATGAGAGTGTGGTTTTGTCATACACCAATATTAATGAGCATTAGAAAACTTTGTTAACCAGGACTGTCAGAGATCAAAAAAAAGTTAACGTGTTTATACTTTTATTTTATACAGTTATATCCAATTTCAAAATTTGGTCTTTCTTCTTTCAGAATGATCAGTCTATGCAAGATATGCAGATAATGGGAGGAGATGATCTTTCAAAGCTGACTGGGAAGGTTTGTTAATTTTAAATTTAAGAAAGAAAATATATCCACTAAAAGCAGTTGAGAAACGTTGTGTAGTTTTGCACATGGATTGTCAGATACTAATACTGGAATCAAATAAATTTATTAGTCTCTATTAAATTGCTATAATGCCATTGCTTTCAGATTGCAGATGCTAGCCCCTCCATCATGGTGTAGGGGTTTCCTAATATTTATACACATAATATTGGTGAGATTGTGGGTGAAATTTGTGCTGGAATGCTTCCCCTGAGCTTGTTATGTGTTGGAGCCTTGTTTTTGCTGCCTTCGATGAGTGCAAGCAGGCAATCGGCACATTGAGTATCTGTTGAATTCAGCATATGAGTAGTTTAATACAATTTTGCCTACTGCACAAAGTTCAGTCGTGAAACCTTTCACTCAGATAATCAAATGGGATTTTCTTTTATTTCAGCATTAGGCTGGCTGCATGACTGAATTTGCTTTGCATTATGCTTGAACGTTATGGTAAAGAAAGAGTGGTTTGAGTCAGTGAAAAGGTGATTTTCATGCAGCCACAGTAATACTAAGCAGTACTTTGAAGGGGAAAGAAGGCTGATTTCATTAGACAAATGGCCTATGTGAAAAATTATCACAAATGGATTCTTATGCATTGAGGCAACATAATACTTACCTTGTAACTAAGCATGTGCAGTTACTTTTTCATTAGCTGCCACTAAATGATACCAGTTTTTTCAAACCACTCAAATGTAGCACTATCAAATGAATTTGTTTTCTTGCACTATAGCACACAAGAAAAAGAAGAGAAAAACTTAACTTTAAATATTTAATATTAAATAGAGCTTAAATGAAAAAAATGCTGTTATACTCAGAATATTATGTATGTCCTCAATTTGCACTTCTAAATATTCCTCCTGGGTGTTTGTTTCCAGATTATTACTAAAGCATTAATCATGTTCTTGGGAAATATTAATTCATTCGCTGCTTTCTAATATTCAAACACTGGAGCTACCTGTTTTTGTATGATGATTTTGCATATGTTTCTCTACCTCACAAGTAGTCCAAACATTTTCTAAGCTTCCAGGCCCAGCTTCTCTTCTCCATCTTCCAATCCCAAATTTTCTTGACAAATGGTTTCAGTTATTAGTATCTTTTCCAGACATAATCTTTCTAGTATCATTTGAATTCACTGGGGCAAAACATTATTTTCTTTTGCAGGACTTTTGTGTATTTGTGTGCGTCCACATGTATATGAGAGAGAAGGAAAATTTCACCCCAAGTAGTTCTGTGCTTTCCAAAAATGAAGTAATTTGTTTTCTTATACTGAAAATCCCGGTGACTGTTTTCTCATTGGCACAGCCCTCCTGTTCCCAGGTATGGAGCAGGACATAAGATTTAGTTGTTAGAAGGCTAGGAGATACTCATGGAGAAGACTCAACAGCAATATAGTTTAAGATTGCTGGGTAAGGAGGCTGGGATCTCGGGTAGGCATGAAGGGGCTGGTTTGGGAATGCGGGTGGTTCTGATCGGGAAGGGAGCCCTGTGCTGGAAGCTGGGTGTGGAAAGGCTGAAGTGGAGCAAGAAGGGAGGACTGGGACTGCCAGGGGAGCAGACTTGCTGAAAGGGTGTATTTGGCATTTTTTGTGTGTGTGGTTGTCTGTGACACAGCTGGTGTATGAATAATTAAATAGCATTTTCACTATAACACCTGAGAATGGAGTTTCCTTAAGACTTTTTTTACTGATTGAAAAGCTGGGACACAAAGCTTGAGCTCACATGTTCATACTTACACATCTAAAGTTGGATATACGAAGGAGTGGCCTTATGTCCACAGATGCCAACTCCTCCATCTGTTGTTGACTTAAGCAATTAGTGCAAGTATTCAGCACATTTTACTAATCAGCCATTTGCGGACTGATTCAGAGCCTCCTACAGTCAATGTAAATCCTTCCTTGAAGTGTTTTTTAGTACCTTAGTTTAGCTGCTGGCTTTTAAAACTACTGGCTTTAGTAATCATTCTAAGTCACTGAGGGAATTAGTGGAAGATTTACTGATGGAATTCAACTTTCCTGCTTTTCAGTGAGCTGGGTGTTTCTCCTGCCTGCTTGGAGTACTTATTAAGAAAAGATTGTGTTTATATTGAAAAATTAATATACCAGGTTAAGTCCCATTAACTTAATGATCATGGAAGATGTTTTCAACAGTGCCAGCATGGGTTCGGAATGTAAGTTCCATTAAGTTTCTGTAAAGTTTAAAAGCATCAATAATGGAAACAGTTTTGAAACCTGCAGACAAAAGATTCTGAGATTTTGATCTGAAAGTGCTCTTCATTAAGTAATAATAACTGGAACCTCAGCTAGCCTATAATCTTAGTGAACAACTAAATAATTTCCATGCATTACTTATTATTGGAAAAAAAAGATTACTGAGTATATTCATGAACGTGCTGTTCTATAACAATCTTTTTTTCTGAGAAAGCTTAAAGAAAGCAAAAAATGTTCAAAGCTAATTAAAAAAAGCGTGTTAAGGATAATAGCTCTTCAGAAGGAACAATATCTCCTGTGTACTTCTCTGCAATATTTGTTTATTTTTGTTTATATTTTGTTTATATTATATAATTTGTTTTATTTTTGTTTATAAAAATACAATAAGCCTGGGAAAAATGTATAATGACCCAAACCATGAAAAAGAGAAATATTTGAGAAAGGAGAATTAGTATACAGACCAAAACTGTTACCTGAAGAAGATCATCCCCAATTTGAAATTATTCTCTGAAGAAAATAAATTTTTAAAACAGATAATTAATAACTGTCCAGAAAACTAGAGGAACTGTTTCAAAGCAAGATGGCAATGAAAATTTATGTAGATGAGGAGAAAGAACAAATAATATAACCGTCTTTAGTATTAATACTGTAATCATACTGTAAAAAATTGTAATATGTTTTAAAGTATTTGTGACAGTTAAAGTAAATTTTAAAACATCTAGGAGGTGCAGTAGATTCAGCTGTACCAGAGTTGCAGCTTATCACTGCCATTTACCTTATGCCTGTATGTGTGTGTATTTTGTCCCAAGAGCTTTGGAACTGGTTACGTAGCCCAAAGTCTCTACTGACAGGAATCGTTCTGTATATCACCTGATATATAATATGTCCTGTAACCTTTCAAAAAAGCTCCTATACCAATTTGACTTGTCTCCTTGCAAATGAGATGTTAGACAAAATCAGAAACTTAGAGTTTATATAATTTTGCAATTAAATACTTACTACAGTTGTATAATATATTTTATGTCAAAATTAGATCCATATATTTTTGTCATTATCACTATTTCTGCATAACATAGAATATGAACAAAATTAATCATTCTTATCTGTTAGGTTAATAAGAACTTTAATTAAAATGAAGTAGTTATGTAGTTAGCACGAAACAATTATGAAGCCAGTGAATTTCTTTTATTCCATCTGGCTGTAATACGGATCAATGTTTATGTTCTTTATGAAGGACTATTGCCTATGTTCATACTACGTACATCTTGTCGACAGCCAGTGGTCTTGGCATTTTCTAAGTACGGAAGGTAACAAGTAGCAATCAAGGGAAGAAGAAAGTGAATGTCTTGTATTCTCTCCACACTTTACTGCGTTAGTTTGAGCACTCTGTCACTACTCTGATGCTTTCCTAGAATGACTAATCAGCTCATATCAAAAAGCGGTTTCACTCAGAGGAAGATATCCACCAAGCAGCACTCCTCAATTCCTTCTGGCAGGATTTGTGCTATAAAATCTCCAAAAGTACTTTATATGTCTCATCTAAATCAATATATCCACTGTCTACCATTTTCTTGCCCCATTTTTCATATGAGAAGATGTTCCAGGAACATAATGCAATCTCACTTTCTTTCTTATGCCTCTCATTTCTTCTTTTATTTTACTGAACCATTTCTCTGCATGTTATAGGCGCTAACAGCAGTTCTGAGAGCTGTTTTTCTAGCATTCTCTTAAATATGTTAGTGTTTCATATTTAATAAACAATACATATGGCAGCTGTGTAACACAAAGTTTTATTCTCTGCATTTAAAGTACATATTACTGTCTGCTTCACCATTCCAAGTTTGTTTCTCAGAATTCTGTTGGTTCTGTACTTACTTTTTTCTCCTTCAGTATTCACTGCCTCGACTAATGTTACGCTTTCTCTGGCTATACGCATTCCGTTCTGGAATAATGCCCATAAATTTGGAGAAGAAATAATGGCATTCTCTTTAGAACATTATGTACATTAGAGAATATTTATATGGCAGTAAAGGTATACAAAATCCACTATTCACTTCTGCTGTGGTCACAACCCCCACTCATATATACGTCTTACTGTATTCCTATCAGACATGCAGCCTTGCCTTTTTCATCTTTTCAAAGGTTGATTTTATGTGTCTTGAAGCATTCCACATCTTCAGTACCTCTACTTAATTGCCGTCTTTAGTCATTTTTGTTGTCCTGCATTTTTTCTTAATTAGATTTTATACTGTCTACTCTTCTGAAAGTTGTCATCCTTAACTGCTTTTTCCACAGCAAAAGACAGGATTTTTTTTCTTCCCCAAAGTCAATCAGTTTTCTTTGCGCTTCTTCCTTAGGTAATCTGTTCTCATAATTTTCTTTTTTTTGTTGTTGTTCTGGAGGAAGCCAAGTACAAAGAAAACTTCCCAGCCTTCCTGTCCCATTTTTCACATTAGCTCTGCTCACCTGCTTCGACATCATACATACTCATCATTCTGTTGATTTTTTTCCTGTGTCCAGAACATGCTCCTCCAATTCCAGATAATCAGAAAATTACACTTTTTCCTTCAAGTAAGAGAATGGAGACGGTGATCCATTCCTGCATTACCTTTAGATCGATTACGGTAATTTGCTCAACTTCTTATGCACAGCAGAAGCATGGTGTAAGGATGGCTGCAAGCAGAACGTGTGCATGTACAGTATTCAACACAGTGTTCTCTAAGAACAAAATATCAGTTAGAGGATATCATCTTGCCCTCCATTATGTCCCCCACTCTGTTAAATCTTGGAGATACTGAACTAGTTTTACAGATTTCAATTAGCTGGAGTCTGTATATGTAGACTCTTAACGCACCAACCAAGTTGTTCCCATCAGCATCTGACACTGACCAAATTGAGTGTCTAAAAGAATGACAGTTTTGAGATATGATATGTGTCCTTTCAGGAATGCCATAAGTTGTGGATCAGTGCAACAGAAAATATTAAAATCAGACATCCATGACCTTTTCTAGAATACTGTAGAAAGCTCCTACTTAAATGTCTAATTTCTCAAAAGTCTTTCATATTATTTTCTAACATTTTGGTGAAGTGTTGGGATTTGTGGATTTCATTCCTGTACATACCATAAAATTATTTCACTTCTAATAGCAGTTCTTGTAGCTTCCTTTGGACCTCTTCACTGAAACCTGATGCAGTATTGCTTAACCTTTGTTTGCTGTTGATTCTTCAGCTCTGTGGCACTGCTTCTTCAAGCTTTACTTAAGTTGTCATAAAATGGCTTGTTTAATTAGTGGTACCTGAGGTTCACCAAATACAGTGCTAAGAAAGCGAGTACTGCAGGTGTGATGAGTAAGCTGATAAACCATTAACCATTCAGTTTGAAGCATCACATTATCAATTTATGTGTTTCTGATGATACGGAGTATACATGGAAAGAAAGTGTCTTTATAAATAATCTAACTGGAAATGCAGACTTCTGAATGACAATTGAACTAGAATGAAAACACACTATTTTGTAGCTTTCCACCTTCTTCCCCCCAAATATAAATAGAGATAGGTAAAAAGGTGCTGTATGTTTTTTTTTTTTTAACAGCAGACAACTGGAATTTTATTAGGGAAAGGATATATGGAAGGCAGCAAGAGCAGAGACTTCCAAAATCCAGGTTACATCTGGACTATCATTTTGAATACATCCAGTGCTAGAACTGTTATCCATGTCTGTGTCATCTCTTTGTAGCTCCAGTTATGCCTCAATTCCCACAGGATTGTATAGCAAGGAGTTTCATATTTAAGTAGCATCTGAAAAAGTCATTCTTTTTTTAAAGCTTGCTACCTGTTTACCTTCAATGAGTTTTACAAGACTTAGTTGAATCTGCCTTATTGAACTGCTTCCTTAAAAATTTCTGCAAATCCTGCCACACTAAGGGTTTTTTTTGCTTGTTTGTTTTTTTTGTTGCTTTTGGGTTTTTGAGTTTTTTTGCAGTACATTTACTTGGCCTGATCACAAACAGAGCTTTGCTTAGAGTTTTCTAAGTCCAAAAGCATCATTATATTCTTGTCCAAACTTCTGGGTAATTAGATTGAAGGGTCCCAAATGATAATTTCTTCACCATGCCTACAGTTTCTATTCTGAGTTATCAACTATTTTGATTTAAAGACTTGATGCAGAAGCCTCCATACTTCAGGCATCTTTTACCTACAGTTAACTGTCATCACTGCTAAAATGGTGAACTGGATTTTCTCTTCTGAATTTGGATAGCTTTTTGCCTTTTGCTTTTGCCTTTTGTAATACCTTTGCCTACTAGATTGAGCAGCTTGCCATTATCAAATTTATATTGCCATATGATTGCGTATTTGCCTATCATCCAGTCATTACTTAAGCTTCTAGATAAACTAATACATTGGGACCCTGCTGTGAAGTACTAGCATACTGTAGGATGTAAATGAGACAAGGTTAGAAGGTAGAATTAATAACAGGAAATTAATACTAGACAATTTATATAGTTGGAGAAAACAAAATTTCAAGCATACAGGTGCTTCTCTTGGTCTGAGGAGACTCAGCAAACTTCAAGCTAAGTACAGATTGGGAGAAACTCTTAATTTTAATCTAATGTGTTAATCAGACAATTTGGGAGAAAAAAGTGATTGCCCTACATGATCACCTGCCCTATGACCGAAGGGGAAGATAAAAATGTTAAGAATTCCTCTGAGCTAAAATAAGAGACCAAATTATCAGCTGTGGAACACTGATAAATGAGTTGGAGGTCAGCTGCAGTGGAAGATTATAATGTGCCGTAAAGCCAGTATTTTATTGAGTCCATGATTTCTAGTGCATACTGCAGTTCTGAATTTTTGTTCCCAGGCTCAGCTTTTGAAGGTATTTTGTGGTCTCTTTGAGATTGTGGGCTGAAAGGTCAAAGTTCTTTTGTGAAAAATGTTCTCCCACTGGGAACTGGGCTGTTAATTAAATAAAAGCTATTACTTCCTGCTACAAACCTTCACTGTAAGGTGTTTTTTTCCAGGTCTCAAATAATTACTTTCTCAGTCTTAAGTTCTTTTTGCTTGGTTGTTTTTTTCGATTTTTTTAACAGCTTTTTTTTTTAAAAAAAAATGTGTGCATGTTATTCTACTGATTTTATGCTGAAACATTTAAGGAGAAAATACCCTCTCTGTGTACCTACCTGAGTTTCTTGCTATACATGCAAGGGCTGTGTTTGTCCTCTTAGCTGTAGTATTGCGTTAAGTATGGTTGTTTATTTGGTTACTTAAGTAGAGTTTTTGTTTTCCAATAAATACTCCCCTTTCTAAATTTACGACTTAGTTTGCATTGTTAAAATTCTACATTTTATGTGGGTTCATAGACAACCTCTCCCTCAAACTCTTATTCAGTGCTAATTTCAAAGCATTGCTATTTCATAGTAATTTTTCCTTTGAAATCAGTCTTCTGGATGGAACATAAAATCAAAATCTAGAAAAAGTTGTTATTCTTTTCCAGGAAGATGAAAAATAGTTTCCATAGCACTTACTACTGTCAGGCAGGAGGCATACATGATCTCATTACTCGGCTTGGTCTTGTTAGCTGACATTGTTCCATTTATTACTGACCTGTGGGAAGGTAAACAGTAGAAATTTATTGACTCAGTGCCAGAGTATTTTTCAGCTTATTACAAGTCAGGATTTTTCTTACAGGTATTACAGTAACAATTTACTTTCTTGCCGTGTATAAGTTCATGTGGCTTTGAAAAGCAGTAAACTACAGATTTTCAATTTTTGCAGGTACCCAGTCCATTTTTGAAAGTTTTAAAATTCACAGATACATTTAAATTTATTATAAAAATTAAAATGTGGGTCTTTAACATGAGACAAATTCGCATGGAATGCAGGGATTAGAAATGATTTCTTTTTCATTTTACATAGTACTACTAATATCAAAAACCTGCTTTTTCCAGATGTCCCAAGACATGCTGCTATGAACCATTTCTACTACTGTCTAAAAAAGGATATGAGAGCAGAAATTTTATTTTTGTGTAGATCCAGTTCACACCACAAATATTATTTATGCTCAGTGCAAATGTCCATGTGCAGAGTCCCAAGCTGTATGTGCTCTGGTCGCTCAGAATGGGAATTTTAAACGTCACAGCACTCCTTTGTATTTAAAACCAAAATTAGAATACGATTCTAGGGCCTGTGCTCTTTAATGTTTTTGTAAATGATCTGGACACAGGAATTGAATGTACATTAAGTAAGTTTGCCAATGACACTAAACCAGGAGGAGCTGTGAACTCCCTCAAGGGTGGAGAGGCCTTACAGAGAGATCTGGATAGGCTAGAGAGCTGGGCAGTCACAAACCATATGGAATTTAACAAGAGCATGTGCCAGATTTTCCACCTGGGATGGGGTAATCTTGATCATATGTACAAATTGGGGGATGACAGGCTGGAGAGCAGTCCTGCAGAAAGAGATCTGGGGGTTTGGGTTGACAGCAAGTTGAATGAGTCAACAGTGTGCCCTGGCAGCCAAAAGGGCCAACTGTGCCCCTGGGTGCATCAAGCACAGCACAGCCAGCTGGTTGAAGGAGGTGACTGTCCCATTCTACACTGCACTGGTGCATACTGTGTGCCTTTTTGGGCACCTCAATATAAGAAGGACATCACATTATCAGACTGTGTCCAGAGGAGGGCAACCAAGATGATCAAAGATCTTGAGGGCAAGACTTACAAGGAGCAGCTGAGGTCACTTGGTTTGTTCAGCTTGGAGAAGAGAAGGCTGAGAGGTGACCTCATCTCAGTCTGCAACTTCCTCGAGGGGGACAGCAGAGGAGGAGATGCTGATCATCTCTCTCTGGTGACCAGCGATAGGACATGAGGAAATGGCATGAGTCTGCATCAGGGGAAGTTCAGATTGGACATCAGGAAAAGGTTTTTCACTGAGAGAGTGGTGGACCAGGCTCCCGAAGGAAGTGGTCCCCAAGCCTGTCAGAGTTCAAGGAGTGTCTGGACAACCCTCTTAGTCAGATGATGTAGTTTTAGGTAGGCCTGCAAGAAGGAGGGAGTTGGACTCGATGATCTTTATGAGTCCCTTCCAACTCGAGATATTCTCTGAATCTGTATTGCACCAGCCTGCTTCCTGACAGCTACGTGGTAGGAACAGCTGTAAACACAGGATGAATCATGGTCATCCATATTTGTCAGCTCCCAACTGTCCCTCTGATCCATCAGCATCTGATCCATCCATGACTTAACAGAAAGGTGTTTCAATCTCTGAGGGTTGAGCCACACCCCTTCTTTATTTGGACTATATAAGAAATCTTTCCAGGACATCTTTTAAAAAACTGACTGTTCTCTGTGGCTCACTGTAAGATATATTAGCATCATTATTAGATTCTGGATGTACTTCACAGATTGTATTGGTGAAGATGGCTGTACTCAGAACTTAAGCCATCTTAAGTCTAGTCAACATGTCCAGGCAGAAGGCTCAATTACTTCTCTTTTCATGTAGCTTCCTCCTCTGCAATTGCCTCAGATACATCTGAAAGGACAAACCAGTCTTGATCTGTGTGGCACAGGAGCTTCAAACACATATACTTGGAAAAATATCTTTGCTACAGTGTGCTTTAGCTTCCTATCATTTGTCCAGCTATCAGTTACTGCCATAGCACCACAAGCTGATAACTTTCACCAGTCTCCTGCCCACCAGCTCACAGGTGGATTTCATGGTGAAGCTGAATAGGGTCTTTCACGTTACTGTGACCTTTTGCAAGATATGCTGGATGCAGCCAGCTGTGCATTTGGGAAGACGGTGACATTACTGGTAATGTACCAATTAATTGTATCCACTGCATCATTCTTTTCTTCTTTCCATCTGCTCAAGGATAAGATAATCTATTTCAACAAGTTTCAGATACACATCACCACTATCAACTCTTGGATACTGTATATAAAAACATTTCTTGGTAGTTTGTGCCACTATGACTCTGCTATGCCATCGCTTTTCTGGAACCCTCCTTTCAGTAGCCTACTTGAGCAGGAGCAATATAGTCAGTTTCCCAGCACATAATTTTGTTTTGCAGGAGGTGGTTTCTGGTACCAGAGGATGGCAAACCATTTTGAATGCCTTCAGTCATAAGCAAAAGTTAAGTATGATGACTTGTCACAGTAACCCTGACTAATCAAACCAGGGATTAATGTATCCCTCTCAGTAATTATGATGCCTGCTTATACAAAATGGTTTCATATCTAAGTATTTTATAGTGTTTTTTCCGCTACAAAGTCCTTGCATACAGGATTTCTCCATATCACAGAAAATCCTCATCATTGTTTTGGACATTATAAGAATGTGGATAATACAAAAGAGAATCTGTGTTTCCTGAACTAGACAGCTGACTGATTAAAGGGACCAAATCTCCTAATGCATATCATTTGCAACTGTTAGACTCCTTGACTCCGAGGAGAAGAAGGCAAGAATAGCAGAATGCTGGTCAGACAGTTTCAGGGTCCACCAGTATCCTTCCTTCTCAAGTTAGTCAATAAATATGAGATCCTACATTTCAGCTGAAGTCATATGCAGGTGACTATCACTCTTGTGGCCAGACAAACCCTTCAGGCATGTCTGGATCCACGTTAATCTTCTTTCCTTCATATGAGTCATTTGAGATAAGGAAATGTAGACAAGATTAAATTTCTATTAGATGGATGTATAACTGGTTGGAAAGCTGTTCTCCAGAAACAGTTAATTATGCTTCACTGTCAGACTGGATGCATTAAAGCATGTTCTCCAGGGACTATACAATATTTAATTCATGATATAAAAGATGGAACTAGCATTTAATGCTAGTGATACTACCTGGAAAAATACTACAAGATAGTGTTATGATCTTAAGAAAATATTTTAAGAATTTGGTTCAAAGACTGACATGTATTGACAATAAAGATGAATACTAACTTCTGTGTTTATATAGAAGTAATCTTTTACATAAACACAAGTGAGGAAGGACTGACTAAGCAACAGTTCTGAACTGGAGACTATAGGTGGATCACGAGTTGCACATGAGACAACAGCGTACCTTTATAAAAGAAAAGATCTAACTATTGTACTGGAACATACAGAAAGGAGGATTATTTGTAAAGCATACCAGGTGGTTCTTTTATTCTTCTGGACACTAGAAAAGGCTTCTGTCTGGTTTGGAGCATCACAACTGGAGAAGGATTCTGACCAACCAGACAGGTTACTGAGGAGAACGAAAAAATTATCAGAAAGCTAGAAAATATAACTTATGAGAGAATACTGAATAAATTTGGGTTGTTTAATCTGAAGAAGAGGAAACTGAGGAAATACATCTGTCTTCAAATATAGAAGAAGTTAAAAAGAGAAGAAATAAAGCTTTGTATATGTCCACTGCAAAACAAGTTCAGGTCAAATAGCAAGAGAAGTTTTCTAACTGTATTTTTACTCTTAGATAATGAGGCACTGAGACACATTGCCTGGGGAAGTTCTGAAATCCTCATCATGTTCAAGAACAGGTAAATCAGGTATCTGTGAGGGATAGTTCTAAGTTGATTCTTTTGGCCAACAGAATTATCTTGATGACCTTTCCTGGTCTCCTTAGCAGCATTTTTTATTGATGTCTGTGATTTTTTTTCTCACAAGTTAATCAGTAAGGTCTGCTCCTACCTATCAGTTTAATCCCAATTCCATGGGCAGGGAGTCTGCTGTCCCCCCATTCTGTCTGATTTCATAATTTCCACTTGCAAGTAAGCAAGAGAATCCCTGTTGCTGCTTAGGATAGGATAGATGAAGCAGCTGTGGTAGCAAAGAAATGTATTTGTATATCAACAAAATGTCCAAGGACTATGCTTTTCTCTCAGTTTGCCACAGCTCTGTGTGTACTAATAGGCCTTAATGGCCATGTCCTGTGTCACTTGGGGCCCCTACCCACACCTGTGGGCACAGGAGCCTCAGTTCAGCTCAACTCAGGGCTTTTAGTCCATGCCTGAGCTGTGCTGTATGGGTACCGATCTTCAGCTCAGCTACAGCCATGCCTTTACGTTCCTACAGACATTGATCCAGACCCTAACTCACAGACTGACCTCCCAGTTTAACCTTGGGCCTGCCTGGAGAGCAGTGGGCTGTGCCTGGTCATGGTTGCTCTCACTGGACCTGATCCCAACCTGTGGACTGACATCCCAGCTTGGCCTCAGTTCTGCCTCAGCACATGAACTCACCTGACGATACGCACTCTCGGTTGAACAAGTCTGGGGTCTGCCCACGCACCTCGCTGAGGCACTGTGGGGCTGGGCGCAGGCCAGCGAGGCCCCTGCGCTGCCCGCTGGGTTACTGCACTCAGCTCATGGCTGCCCTTCACTCAGGGAGCACCCAGCCTTTGCTGCTAATGCAGAACTTTGAAGCCCTCTGCCATGTCAGTTTTGGTATGTTCCGTCACCTGCCGTAGCTGCTGGATAGGCCTTGTCACTAGAAGACCTGTGCTTTTCCTTTGGGAGGAAAGTTCTTGTCAACTGTACAAAGAGCAGCAAGAGATACATGAAGCAGGATGGGTCAGGATGTCAGGCTGATGTCAGGGCAGCCTCTCTTACCAGGTGCCATCCACAGTCATCCTGGAGTGTTTGCTGGTACTTAAAGAATTCATCTCCATGTCTAGTTCTGATGAGGTTCTTTCCCTGCCAACTCTTCTGCTCTCTCCCTGTATCATATATATATATATTTGTGTATGTATATACACACATAAGCATTTACATACATCACCAGCTGTGCAAATTCCCTGCGGGATGGTTAAACCATTACTCCTGCACATAATCTTCAGGTGTCCACTGGCTGAATCAGGTGATTTGTTTATGCCTCAGACCCAGGTGTCCTGGGCTAGTCTTTGGAAGTGTTTTTCCTAGTTATGACTTTATCCAGGAAGCCAGATGAGAGCCAAGCCCTTTTTGACTCCAAATGGCTTCCTTCAAGAAAATTTATCCCTGCACACCTGTCATAAGCTTCTTCTGAACATGGTTTTGGTCTCTTCATCTTATATAGAGGACTGGCATACTTCCATTCTTTCTTGAATGAAGACATTTCTAGAGGTAGGGTATCTTTGGACTTTTGTTTTTAAGACGCCTTTGACTTTTTACTTTCGCAGGACTAAGTCTTTCAGATCCAAAGTTGTTTGTGTCAGCAGCTGAGAGGTTGAAAGTCAGGAGTGCCAAGCAGGATAACCACCAGTGAAACCTGTTATGAAAAAAACAAAATGGAGCCACCCTCCAAAATTAATACACATTCCACCAGAGCTCAATCTAAATTAGTGGCTTTCTTTAGTGATATCTCCATTGCTGACATCTACTGAACTACTACCGTGAGTTCCCTCCACACCTTTACCAAGTGTTTTGGCATTTCAGAAGCATCCAGGTATAATACAGTGTGTGGTAACGTGCTTCAGCACTGGTTAATTCATAAGGAACTGCAGTATGAATATAAATATGGATAATCTATATTAATAATGTCTGTTTTTAAGATTAAACAACAGATTTACACGTCTATTAGTGAAACTGTCAAAGGTGTACTGTTTATGAGCACCCTCCCTTCACACAGTCCTTCTCCATGGTGTTTGAGTCTTTCTCATAACTCTCAACCTTGGGATTCTGTGATGGGAAAGGAAGTTAGACAGTCTCTACGTTATGTGTGTAGCAAAGCCAACAAGCCTGATGGAAAGGAAGTGGATATGAAACTATATGTCTTAAGGTTTTGTGGGACATACAATGTGCACATGCATGTAAGATGTATACATAGATGGATAGATACAGGTGTTTGTGAGATAACTTTCCTCTTGCTATTGCAGGTTTCACCTCAGAAAGTAGATCTTAATGCAAGATTGTAAGAGTCCATCCTTTTGAACATGCATGTGATAATGCCCACTAATAAATGGATTTTTATTTCTTCTGATAAGGACATTACTTCTTATTATTGCTTCCAATAGAAAAACAGAAATCACTTTAGATACTGTAATTCCTGGAACACTGATGAACCATTTCAGCAAAAAGATCAGCCTGTGTGATCATGCTGTCATAAGGCTTGACTTCATTGCTCTTGAGTGGACCACTCCTCTTCAAGTAATACTACTGTTTTCAGCAGCAGTATCTAAAGAGAAAGAGAGTGTTTCACGGTGTGAGAATGGGTGGTACAACCTGGCCTGTAATCCTTTATTGTGAGGTTTCTGGAGGGTAGGAGGAGGGAGGAAGAACATTTATTTCAGAGTAAGAGTGTTATTGCTCTAGTCTCATATTAACATTAGCAATAATACTTTAATGCACTGCTGTACACAGCTAGAAACACTGTAATGAAGTGAAGCTCATCCCATTTGGATTTCTTCCATCTAATTTTATTTCCCGAAGCTACCTCCATTCTTGCACAGAGAGAATAATCTAGACAGAGCTGAATAAAGTCATAGCCCCTGACTACAGGGCTTGCTCTTACGGCTGGCTCTTTTTCAGGGCACAAAAAAGAAACAGGAAACTCCTTGTGTCCTACCCTGTTGTACATATGCACATGGACCTCTCTGTCTTCATTTCACTTTTTTAAACATTTGTTTCTTTTAGTTTGTGCATATTGTATAATTGTGTCCCTTCTTGTTTGTTTCTTTCAGAATGTTCTAATTGTGGAGGTAAGTTGGGTGCTTACGTCATACTGTACTTTGATAAAGTCACATAGTCAAGTCTTGATTGTGTGTTCAGTTTCTAAAACCTGTCTGTGTTTACACTTATTTAGCTGGGAGGTGGTGAAGAGGAAGAGGGGTTGATTTGCTTAATGACCTCTCAGTCTGTTTGTGATTGCATGACGGATCAAACTACATTGCTGCCACTCTAATTGGTACTCTGCCTTGTGATACCCAGGAGTTTCTGTGTCATTTGTTCTTTCTATGGTTTCATCAACTCCTGTTCTGCAAGTTGTTCTGTTCCATGGAGGACAATGAATCAACTGCAGTGATGCCCTGCACTTCTCAGTTGCATGAGAAGTGGCACAGCCCTGCACATGCTTTACAACTTCAGGGCTGTTCACACACTGGTTGAGAATGTCAGTCATTCTCTCAAGTCCCCATGACTCCTGCTCCTTAGCTTTGCATCCTGCAGTGTCCTCTGGGGAGAGCCCATCACAGATACGTTGCTGATGTAAATCACCACTGTTCAACTGCAGAGGAAAAGAATGTGTCACCTCACTGATGCTGCAAATTCCCTCTTCGCTAACGTAGGTGATTCTCTTTTAAAATACTGGAAAAGCAACTGGGATGGTTAGAGAGCGTGTCAGGATCTGACTGGCATTTCAGGCCCAGTCTGCTTGCCTGGAAAGTAAGCTGGAAGGTGTAATGAAGGAAATGTATAAATGTTGGAATGTCTTTTCTTAGCAAAGAAAGGAAAAAAAAGTCATCAGCTGCAGAGATGGCTGGTTACCTGAATAGCTGCTAGGAGCTCCATATTTGCTAGTTCTGACTGCTGTAACAAAAATTAAAAACGTCTGCAGCAGATTAGCTGGGGAGCAGAGACGAAGTGTTGCTAATGAAAAACCCACACCCACAGTGTTCAGGATCAGCTGGCCACGTTATGGTCAGTTTTGTAGCCAGGTAGCTACTGATCTCATTCAGATTGGGTTGGGTACAGCGGCTCTGGAGAATACTCATTTGTACTAGATTAATAAAACAAGAAATAGAACAAATTTAGCCCTGACATGGAGAGATGTTGACATACTGTAGTCTTGAGCATAATATGAAAAGTCTGATCCCTGCATCCTTGCAGTGTCCAGAAAAGTCATCTCCAGACCCATGTTACATCCCAAGTACTAGAAACATAGCTATTTGGAAGAGGAATTGGACAGTCCTTTAATGGATTGTTTTATGAGTAGAAAGTACTTGCTTCAAAGAGTGTGAGCTCAATTATAACCTTTTTTGGGATGTGACTCACAAGTACACTGGGAAAAATACATAATTTCCACAAAATAAGAAGGTGGAACTGCTCAGCCATTGTCCATACTTCCTCTTTTCAGCTTTTGTTTTTTACTTATTCTTTTTTTTTTTTGTGTCTTGTAAGGATATTGTTGGAACTGGAAGGACTATGAAGGTTCTGCTTAATAATATAGAAAAATACAAGCCCAAAATGATTAAAGTGGCAAGGTGAGCAAAATGTATTTAATTTAGTAATTAATTAGTCTAGTCCAACATATTTCCCAGTGGTGCTTCCCACTCCAAGATCCTGCTTTAATTCGCTGCTGCAGTATCGCATGGGGAGCCCTGCAGAGGCGCTGCTTGAGTCACTAAGAGGAGGGGAGAGGAAAGGAGAGGAAATGCATTTGTATTGTTCTTCAGTGGCAGTGACGCTTCAGCCATTTCAAGACTGGCACTTGTGGACTTTGAAGGGGAACACACCCATACCATCTCTTCCCTGCATCAGGGCGTTACTGGGAAGAGAAGCAGAATGAGAACAGTGATTCATATGGCTCAGAAGTTTTTTGATAAAGGGAATAGCTTTTATGCATGTTATTCAGGAAAATATCTAGATTTACATGGGTTTTGTTTTGTTTTTAATTACAGTTTGTTGGTGAAAAGAACATCTCGGCCTGATGGGTACAGACCTGATTGTAAGTGGTGGTGTCAAAATCTGTATGTGACAGTACAAGAAGTTACCACTATTCTACCACTTGCCTTTGATATCATTCTATGGACTGCTAGAAATGTTATAAAATTTCAGTTTGTCAATGGGACTATGGGATGTAATGGAAGGATTTGTATAATTGTGGTTTGGAAAGCCTAGCCTCCTTATAGTTTGATGTTTTCTGCATAGTACTAAATTTATAGGGAAGTTATGAAAGGGTTTAATTTCATCCATGAAAGGTGAGTGTTTTGCCTTCTATCTCTGACCAACTATATACAAGTAGTCCATTTCCTCCTTTTCCTTCCTCACTGCATCTCTATCTCTTTGGAGCAGCTGCAGGATCCCATGTGAACATGAAAAGTGTTTTATTGTGACCTAATTATCCACAAGTTTTACATATTAATAACAGAATAACATTTTCTACAATTTTTTGAAAAGTACTATTGTTTAAAGGGTAAACAATAATATTTTGATTGTGCCCCACCCCCAAAAAAGCAAAAGATAATTTGGACTTTTTAAATTTCTTCCTGCTGGTCTGTTTGTGTCACACCAGCACCACTTCTGTCTGAATTACCGGTACTTGTACTGTGCTATGATGAACCCATAAATGGAGCTATGCCAGGCTACTGTTACTTTAGACTTATTAGAAGAAATTATATAACAGGTATGTGGTTAAATACTGAAAAGAATAGATCCATCTAGATGAGATTGACCAGTATTTGCTGCTGAAGAAGGCTCTGGTCAGCTGAGGTGGGGAGGACGGTAGAAGGTGAGCAGGTGGGTCAATACCGGGAGACAGCATGAAGGATCTTGATTTGGGGTGTGGGAGAGAGAAACTTTATGAAGCAAAAGTTACTCAATGTTGGACATGGCCCTGCGGTTTTAGCCCAATAATCCCAACTGTGACCCAAACATTTTTGTTGTACAACTTTTTATACAATGGTATTTTTAACATTTAGAATTTAATCCAGTAAATTAAAGTATATATTTGACTGTATTCACTAATGTTAAACATATAAAAAAATACAATAAAGTTACTTCATAAAGGGTAGCTTAATATTTTTATGTAATAACTTGTAAAATGAAACAGGTTTTATCCTTGTTTATTCGTACTGTGATGAATTTTATAACACATCAAAGATCTCTCTTGTAAATCACTGACAGGGCTGTGTCATTTCCTCACTTACCCAAATTTATGATTCCAAAGTGCTTATTAGCCACAATTTATAACAATTGAATACATTCTTTTCTTTAATACCTGTAAAATTTTTTATGCTGACCTATTTTTGTGTCCAGAAGGTTGTGTTTTTCTCTAGTTACTTAGTGAACAATTTGGAAGGAGTCTAACTTGTTTTATGTAGTCTGATACTGCACAGACCTTCACACTCAGATAGATGCGTGCCTATGCTTAGCTTCAAGTGTGTGAGTTGTATGATTCAGCTCTACTGCATGCATTTACTTTGCTAAGCACGTGCATGAGTCTTCATAAGGTTGGGACTTTAATTTAAGAAGCATTTGGCATGTTTTGGTAGCATAATATGCAAAATAGTTTTTGCTATTCTCGGAATGTTTAAATCTCTGAAAGTTACTTGTGAATTAGAATTGTATTTTTTTTTCATCCTTAGTGTGATACTGGACAGTTGTCATCACACATGTATACCAATGGAGATTCCAAACGTAGGCAGAATTTTTCAGCTCTGATTCTGGCTTCCTTCCACAATGTGTCTGTTGTGCCAGTGATAATCGTACACAGCTCTCCTACTCTCCGCTGACTATTCACATGCCTGTCACAAACAGTCTGAGTGGGAACTGGGTACGGAGCTACTGCTGTCCTTAATGGCTCGGAGTCAAAAGTAATATAACCTCAACTGACTACCTGTACCTATGGTTTGCTTGTCAGAGAATGAACACATGAATTTAAAGGCTACATAATCACCGCTGATCTTGTATTGATGGTGTTTGTTATTTGTCTCAATACAGATTACGGATTTGAAATTCCAGATTTATTTGTGGTAGGTTATGCCTTAGACTACAACGAGCACTTCAGAGATCTAAACGTAAGTTTCTTTAAAAAAAATATAGTTAAAAAAAATCTCTAGTTTACTTTTCCAGGGTGTCTTAAATACCCCATAAATTGCTTCCTCTCTGGGGCCTTAATGTCATGGTTGGGATCCTTTCAGTGAGTGTAGAACCCCCTGCAAAACCCCAAATAATCCAAGAGAGTCACTGCTCAGTGCAGTGAATGGTTCCTTCCCCTCTCTTCCCCCTCAGAGCAGAAGTCACACCTCTGCTACGCTTCCAACTCCTGTGAATCTAGGACGTCACAGGCCCACCATCCCCAGTACGTGCAGAGACAGCAGTAAAAAGTGAAACACAGCTACAGTTCAGACAGGTTTGGACTTCTACTGCTATGCTGCCTGCCCCTTTTCTCAGTGAGATAAGAAGGGTGCAAGCCTTGCCTTTGCTTCCTGTGATACTCCCAGGGGTGAACCTCAGTGCTGGGAGCTGCAAGTGAAAAAACTTACTGTGGCTAGAAAGTGGAATCAGAATTCAATTCCAGGTCTCTAGAAAGGAAGGGGTAATTACAAGATCACTAGGTGGGTCAAGATAAAGTATTTCTGAACAATTCATTAATAATTAATAATGTAATCAATGATGCTGCTGCAATCAATCAGTGTTATATTTTTTCAGCACATATGTGTTATCAATGATCATGGCAAAGCAAAATATAGAGTCTGAAGCAGTAACATCCTCACCTGAAGATTTGTAAGCTCAGTGAAGCAGAAATTTTGACTCCACTCCCTCAAGCATCTGCCAGAAGAGAAGTTCAACTGACTTGTGTTTCTTTCAACTCAGCATAATAAGGGCTTTACTCCAGAGATACTGATTAATATTTACAGAACTGAGCCCTCTTATGTAAAATGCAAAGTAGAGGACATTTAAAGTTATTACCTTTTTTAAGTATTAAAATCACTGCATAAGATGCCTTTTGACTAATAATTTGTCGGCCTCAAGTCTGATTGGGAATGCATCTGTTCTTTACTCAGTCCATCATTCTACCCATTGCAATTCATGTGCCTCGCTGTGTTGTGTAAGATCATTCAGAGTGCCGTTATGTGCATGAAGATACTTTTACAGAATTTTATTGACTTCAGCATCCCTTTAGTCTTGATCAGATATGCTGCCACCAAATTGAAAGCATTATTTTGATTTAATTCCACAGCTCAAAAGTTTCAGCTGAAGCTGCATGTTGTATGATAGGACATTTCTAGCAGTTCATTACTGCCTCTTCTGAACAGAAGTTTTAACTCTCAGAAAGCACTGAACTAGAGTGCTGGTACAAAATGAACCTTTGCAAGACACTGGTGATCTGAAATTGGAAGATGTCATGGTTTTGGTATGTCATGTAGCCATAGATCTAACCTGTTTAATGTGCTGAATTTTAATTAAGAGAAAACAATGCCAGGCAGGTTTCAACTTCTGCATGGTATCCTTTTACTTCTATAGGACACAAACATGTAAAAAAACCTAACATAGTGTTCTCTTGTGCATATATTCTTAATTAAACCTCATGAAGAACAAAAGCATAATGCTAGTCAGACAATTGCTCAGTTATGATTTGATTTTTATAGCATGTCTAGCTTGATACTTTTTGTCACCATTTGTCATCTTTAAGAATATAGATTTGACAATGTTGGAGAAGACTTGCATAAAAAAAGAAAAGAAAATATAGGAAAACATAGAAAACAAGTTAGCCCGTGAATACTGTAGATTTGAGAGACTCCTTCCTTCCCTTATACATTGTGTTTGAAGAAGTTTGTTAACTTACATGCTGTATTAAGTGTGAAAAATTTAATTCTGTACTGTATGTAACTATTCTCAACAACTTCCCATGGGAAGCCAATGCAAAGTAAGTAGCTGTATGTCAGTAGTTTTGCTCTGAATTGTAAGAGGCAGACTGTTACTACCTTCGGGTTCCTTTAATAAAGAAACAGTAAGAATACTTGTTACATCGCAGTTGTTTATTTTCCTGCTTCAGCATATTTCACACATCCTGTAAAAGCTTCTCAAGAATATGCATTTAACTGGGAATCTAAACATACCTTATGTATATATCCTGTGGCTCATAAGCTATCATTAATTGGATAAAATCCATTATGTATGAAGAAGTAAGATCAAAGAATTATTATGGTCACTAGAGAAATGCTTTAGCCCTCTCTTCTTTACTCTCTTCTTAAAAAGGCACAGTCTAGTTTGCCTTGATACTATGATCAGACTTCAGCAACAACAAAAAAATGTAACGAGTTAGTGTGAAATTAGTGTGAAAAGATGAAATAATATAGATGCATATAACACAGACTGTGTGAATCTTCCAATAAAACAACTTTAAGATCATTAAAATCTACACACTTAATAGAAATGACCAGAGTTATAGAGAAGGTAAGAACTGGAAAGTTTCTTCAAATTATTTCCTTCTGCCATCACATTTTTAACACTGTGATAAAGCACCACA